ATGTTGACCAGGATGGTCTCGATCTCTTGACCTCGTGATCCACCCGCCTCGGCCTCCCAAAGTGCTGGGATTACAGGCGTGAGCCACCGCGCCCGGCCCTTTGTCTGTTTTTAATGATTCTACTTTACAATCTTATGTCTTTGAGTTAAGGGATAGCAGTCACTTCTATAACCATGAGTATACTTTGAGTGAGTGACGTCAAATTATGCTAGAATGTAAGCTCCATGAAAGCAAGGATTTGTTTCTCTGTGTTGTACACTGATGTATTTTTTTACACACTGAACAGGGCCTGGCATATAATAGGGACTCTATAAATATTTTTTGAATAAACAAATGAATCAGAGGGCCTTCAAGTCAGAAGAGAACCTGAAGAGTAGATTGTGTAACAATTTCCAAAGGACTGTGTTCTGAAGGACTAATGTTTTGAGAAAGAGTTTTATGTCCAAAGAAATGTCTGAACTACTGCATATAGTTTCTTAATTTTAGTGATTCACAATGCACATTAAAAAGGCTAATAATTTATGTGGTAAAATAACTATGTAAGCTTGTTTAGCCTTGAGTTTTCTAAATTTATTTGTCCAGAAAACACGTTTTGTTTGTTGTTTGTTAGATAGCTTTAGCATAATACCTGTTGACATCCCATAGTACTGATGTTCCAAAAACACACTTTGGGAAATGCTATCCTAGACTTATTTGCTCATTTTTCAGTGGAATCGTAATGGTTTACAATGGTGTAATGTTCTATATTTCAAGTAATTGTCTTGTTACTTACTCCTTTAAGCCTCACAAAGCTCTGAGAGATCACTCAGATAATATCCCTATTTTGGAGAAAAGGAAACAGAGGTCTGAAGGGGTTAAGGGATTTGCTCAAGGTCACACAGCTAGTTAGTGACAGAGATGAGAAAAGAATCCAGGTCTTCTATTCATCCAGTTAGCCCCAATTAACACCTTAACAGGTGTCTATCTCATCTCTTTTCCATATCAGAAAGTAAGTCGAAAGCAGCTTCTTTTTCAAAGAAACCTGAAATGAATTGTTTTTGCTGGAGATAGACAGAAATATTCAAGAACATGAGAATTCTTAAGAATTTGCATTGATTTTTCTCCTTGCCAACAACTTCAAAAGATTAAGCATAACCCCAAGCATCCTGCTTGCCCTCACTGTCAGCCACATGCATTTGTCCAGCCCAGAAGTGGCACATTCATGGCTCACATGTCATCATGGCCTCTTCTTTGACTGTAACAGGCATGGCTAATTTATTACCAAACACTGAGGTCAGGCAGGACCTAAGATTGTCTCAGTTAAGCACTTCAGTGGCCACTATCCAAAGATCAGACAGAGTTAGGCCAAGCTGAAGCCTGTTTACTGCCTTTGATTTCTCTTTCTACATCATTCCACCTCTCATTTCCACCATTCCTTGGCTAATAGAGTCTATGAATTTACTCCTCACAGTGTCAAGTGTTCCTTTTTATATTTGTTTAGAGTATATATATTTTAAACTTCAAAGAATTGATGCTTAATTTCATAAGAACTCAATGATACATATGTAAGTGAAAGTGTTTTGGAAACAAGAAGTTATACTTTCAAAGACATTATTACTGTGATTATAGCTCTTTTAGTTCATCTGTCTAGACTAAAGACGGAATGCTTTATCTGTTTTCTATTTCAGATTTTGGCTCATTTGTCCTAACTACTGAATTCTTCCTCCTAAGTAGTCCCCCTTTCAAATATGTTTTTTTTTTTTTAATTAACTTGGGTGTCATTTAAAATAGGTCTCTGGTTAGGGCAGCTTTAGGTAGTATAGCATTTACCAATGTTTTACTTAAAGGAAAGAATATCTAAGATGAAAGTTGAGAAGCAAACAATGCTCAGTTTAATTTCAACTGTCTTTGTCTATTTGAGCTGCTACAACAAAAACTGAAACTAGGTGGCTTACGAAAAACATAAATTTATTTCTTATGGTTCTGGAGGCTGGGAAGTCCAAGATCAAGCCACTGGCAGATTTGGCATATGATAAGGGCCCATTTCCTTTGTTCATAGACAGCTGTCTTCTTATCATAACCTAATCTGGAGAAAGGGGTGAAGGTCCCTCTCAGGCTTCTTTTATAAGGTGCACTACTCCCTTCACCTAATCACCTCCCAAAACCTCACCTCCTAATATCATCACTTTGGGGTTAGAATTTTAATGCATTAACTCAGGAGGCACGCAAACATTCAGGCCATAGCACTAACTATCATTGAATTTAGTACCACCTTTAGATCCAGGCACAAGGGGCCCTGCCCAGGTTCCTGTACTTTAGAGAAGGCTGTTTGCTTCCTCCTCTAACTATACCTCTCCTCATGGAGTGAGGACTCCCAGGGCCCAAGGAAACATGTCCACCCAGAGTCTGAACCCACCTTCTTCATACTAAGTACCCAGCAGCCTGGAACTGCCTGACTTAATGGCCCTGAGTTCACTTCTGAGGACCAAGCAGGCCTCTTCCCCAGGGCCCACCTTCCTGACGAGGTGTGGATAGAGATTGGAGGTGGGGTTGGGATATGCACTTGCCTGCACTTGAGCCCCCTAAGGTATAAGATGGAGCTTGAAGTGGAAAGGAAAGGAGGTGCGACCCAAGTGAGACTCTTTCGACCCTGCCACATTCTACCAGAATCATCCACCTGAGGCATCCAAGAATTTGCAGTTCAAATCTGGCCTTCCAGAGAGTCATGAAGTTCTACTTGTCAAGGTAGGAGGATGGACTATATTTTAATTTAACAGTTTTCTGGCTTTATTTACACATTTTAAATATTTATACATATATAAATGGACCTCTCCATTAGTCTTACCCTGGGCTCCACAAATCAACATGGATCTGACTGCACTTTTGGGGCCTTTTAGTTCTTAAAGCAGCCTTATCTAACTTTCTGTTAGGTGATCCATGATTCAAGGTCAACCTGATGTATAATCCTAATTCTAAATAAGACATGCAATGGTGATTCTGTCTCCACACTGAACTCAAACATCCATTTACTGACTGAACATCCAGAAGTTTCTCCAGCTTTATGACTTCATAAGTTTAAAGTTTACTAAATAATTTATCTTTTTTCAACCACATGATATAATATAGGTAGAAGTGCTGGTAAACAGCAAAGTGCTATTTAAATGTATTTTTATTTTTAATTCAAGCTTTCAAAAAAAAATCTTACAGAAAGGAAAAGCTGTAATTTCTCACTTCACTGTATGGCTAGGTTTGTGGAGATTTAATTTGTGATTCTAATCAAAAACATGGGAAATGAATGGCTTTCAAAATACCCTAGTTTACCCATGTTTTCTCCATAAATTTGTTTTTTGGGAGTCTTAATCACTGAAGACACAAACTTGCTTAAAGTAAATAATTTTAACTTAACATTACTTAGGAGGATGTGCACAAAAGCCATAAATAACACTAGCAAATGCATGTCCTTTGTATATTTCCACCTTCCCAAATTGTCTCCAAACATCTGGGCAGGGGCTCAACTTTCCCTGAAGCCTTGAGGCATATCAAGGCTGGTGAGAGCTCATCACTGCCAACCCAATCAATCAAAACCAACTAAGTGCCCATGTGAATTTCCAGGGGCCAGCAGACTTTGCAGATTATAAGGAGAGACTAGAAGGAAAGGAGAAGGAAAAAACTTCTCTAAAGTCTTACTTCGTGCTTATCCAGACAGTGAACCATAGGCATAATAGAAACCCGAGGACAAAAGTTTATTCCAGTTTATAATTCCTACCTGTTTCTACCTCTGCATCTTTTTAACATAGACATTTACAAGCAGGTCATGGACTGGAAAAATTGCCATTCTCAGAACCAACTGATGTCTATTTATCTCCTAGGGCTTGTGCTTGGCAGGGATTTACTTGGTCTATACATTTTTGTTGAGTAGCTACTATGTGCCACGTTCTGTTCCAAGTACCTGGAATAGTGGTGAATAAGACGAATAAGGTCCTGTTCTCATTAAACTTAAATTTAATAAGATGATTTTATCTTGTAAAGAATGTCCTCTTTGAGATTCCTTCCCCAAATCCTCACTTCTCTACCTCCAATTCTCCCTGCAAAATTTGGGACAGGTGCCAGACAATAAATAAACTAACAAAGGAAAACAGAGGTTCATATTGTAAGTGGTATCAAGGAAATAAACCAGGTGATGTAATACTGTGTGACTGCAGGGAACACTATGTTAGCTTAGGTGGTCAGGGGAGGCATCTCTGAGGATGTACCATTTGAACTGACATTTGGGTAAAAGAAACAAACAGGCAGCCCTCTGGGACTCAGCCCATCCAAAGAGGCTGAGCCTGACTGCCCTCCACTGTGCCTACTCAGCCCATGGGAAAACCCATTTATCTTGCCCTACAAATGATACAAGTTCTGTTGCTTCTACTGCCACCCTCTCTCCTAGCTCAACTATCACTGCCATTTTCAGCCAGCCTCCAGCTTTCAGAGTATTTTAGGCAGAGGAATGTATCCCAAATACCTCCACCATTTACTCTTGCAGCTCTTTTACTTGCCTGAAAGGAGTAGAGGTGGTTAGGGGGAATTACTCACTCCTAAAACATCCCTTCATTTAACCCTATCTTTTAAAATGTCTGGTCTTCTTTCTCTTATACAGGATGGATGTGAATGATGGACATGAGGGACCATTTTGCTCTCTCTCAGTAACCTCCCAAGGATATGTCTAGGATCTATGTTTTCCAGAAATAATGAGTACTTAATAATCACTGACCTTTGTTCTGGGGTCTCAGTTAAGGCTCTAAGAATACAATGAAAGTCAATTTAACATCCTGGTACGTTAATCCATGAGCTTAAAGGCAGTCGTCTCCAAGAAGCAAGATTTCTTCTCCAGGAAAGGTGGCTTCCCATGAAGATAGGCTTGTTGACTTCATTGGTAGGAAGGTTCTTCTTACAAGCCTTCATTAGATCCTTCTTGAAAGCCCCCTTTGACTTCAACTGGCCATCTCTGCAGGAAGGAATGTCATTTTACATTAGGAATGTCTGCTTTGAGCTTAGGAGAAAGAGTTGAGGTACAAGTGCTGCTGTGTATTGCTATTCCTGGACTAAGTAGGAGCTTACATGTGTAAAGACCTCATATAGAAAGAGTTTCAGTAAGTGCTAACCTCCTGTTGGACCATAACGAACTCCCTTTTATACGAGCATGAGAATATCAACCACTACCTCATTGTACATTATTCTGCATTATTCACATTAATGAGATTTCCCTAAATTAGAAAAATATAAATGTGCATATATTTTCAGCCTTTCTTCAGCGGAAATCTGTTTGGGGGCATTTTATCTGCAGAGCTGGACATGATCCAATTCTAGGCTTTGCCAGATATTTACTTAGGGAAAACTGAAAATTATTCTTTGCTATATACACTTTCCAATGAGATCGACATTCCTTTAAGACCAGTGTGGTTACCTCAACCCACCAGCCCATGAACGTGCACCAATGCCTGAACCTAAGGTCACATGGTCCCAAGAGCATCAAACCAATCAGAGCTCAGCATCAAGCTGGCTACCTGCCAAGCACAGACACCCAGAGATGGTTCATACCCGTGATCCAAAATCAGGACTTATCTGTAGTTGTCATGAATTGCATACTTAATAAGCCACATAAGTCCATTTAAAAGGTTAACCCATGGTTAATGACCAACAATAAAACTATATGGCTATAGCCCATTGTGTAAACATCTACAAGTGGGAGAGAACTTAACAAGAGCAGAACATTAAAATCAAATTATGCAAAGAGGAAAAAAGTGGCTTTCTCTGGAAAAACATCAGCTTGCCTTATTTGTCTTACACCTGACTTTTATATAGGTCTTGCTAGCTCTAGAGAGGCTTCCGAGCCCCTGGGTAAGGGGAAAAGACTTGTGTTTTATTCATTCCATTATTTCTTGCCAGACAGCAAAGTGAAAGGCATGTTTTGATTACTACTGACATTCAAAGTCTGGACAAGGGTGAAAAATCTAAAGTAAGTAATCCTGAGATCTTATGTTATCAGAAGGGGGAATCATTTTAAAGATCATGTGGTCCAACCCTGTGGTAAAATCTGGAGAAGTGAAGTGACTTCTCCAAAGCCACACAGCTAGTCAATGACAAAGTAGGACTGGTATTCCAGGGTTCAGACTCCTAGTCAAGTGCTGCTTTTTGAATATACTGTATTTCTCTGTGTGTAATTTTGAAATGTTTTTTAGTTAATAGGCTTTATTTTTTAGAACAGTTTTCCATTTCCAGAAAAATTGAGCAGCTGGTAGAGAGTTCTCATATGCAGTCCCCTACCCCAACACATCGTTCCCTATTATTAACATCTTGCACGAGTGCGGTGCATTTGTTATAATGAATCAATATCGATATATTATTATTCAGTTTACAGTTTACATTAGCGTTCACTCTTTGTGCAATATAGGTCTATGAGTATTAACAAATGTGTGATGTTACATATCTATCATTACAGTATCACGTATAATATGACACTTCAATTGCCATATGATGTTTCACTGCCCCCAAAATCCAGTGTACTTGATTCCTTATCAAGTGGTCCTTTTTGGGCATCATTAGGACTCTCTTGATGGAAGCCCAGGCCCTAATATTTTTTATGCCTTTCAATTTGTTGCTAGAAAGATGTTCCTCTAAGTTAATAGAAAAGTCATGAAATATTTCATCACCTCTTTGGGTTTTGTGTTCATCCCAACTTGAGGGCCATAGGAGATAAATCACTGCTATGGCTGCCGAAAGGACCTGCTTCTGGAGATGAGGTCTACCCCTGTTCCCAGGATGTCTGAGAGATACCTTGGACAGCGTCAATGAGAGTCACCTGCTGAGGCAGGGTGAGCATTTCCTAGAGATGCACTTGCTGCTTTGTAAATGCTCTTTCCAGAATAGAAAAAGAAATCGCTTCTCTACAGCATATTAAAAGAAGAAGCCCCTGTATTAATCAAATTAATGAGGAAGATAATAAAAGTAATTATCACGAATAAACTTAAGAAAATAAACAACTTATTTACTCAATTGTTCACTTTGCCACTAGGTGTTTCAACTTCAGAGAACCATAATTTAAGTGAGGTACAGGCTGCACAAATGAGTACAGCCTAGAAAGGTGTGAGCATGATGATTTCTAAAAATGATGAGTAAGAAACCATGCACACCTCATACCCACTCCAAGAGTGAGCTTGAATTGATGCAAGTTTTCAGAGAAGCAATTTGGCAGTATTTACTAAGACAAAAAAAAATTCATACGCTTTCATCCAGAAATCCCATTTCTTGAGAATTTATCTTAAAGAGATCATCAGAGAGGTACTCAAGAATTTTGCAGAAAAATATGTTTCATAGTTTTATAATACAATAGCAAAGGGGGAAAAAAGGAAACAACCCAAACATCTAACAACGGGGAGGTAGTTAGATGTTCTTGGTGGTTTCCTGCAAGCCATATCCTAATGCCTTTCCCATTTGAGAGGTAGACCCCACTGGGGACTCTTAATGGGAGTCAGGGCCTTCTCACTACAGAATCAAACAGAGCAATCCTTCATACTGCCTGTCCCCTTGTAGGTAAAGTGGGACACATCACCTAGGCTTGGTCAGCAAGATGCCCCTGTTTAGAACATTGAAACCTAAGTAAATTCCAGAGACAGATTGTTTCTGTGGTCAGCCCTGGCTAGGGGTCCCACTGCTGAGCCTATTTTGGTTTCTGTCCCTTTTCTTAGCCTATTTTTCCAGGCCTCCCATAGGTCCTAGAGCTACCTAATATGATTCCAGTAAATTCATCTTCTGCTTAATATAGCCAGTGTTGTTTTCTGTGGCTTACAAACAAAACTGACAGACACAGAGAATGATCAAATATATTATGAAATATCTATTAAATATAATATTATTAATCTATCAAAATCCATGTTTTCAACACATATTTAAAGACATGGAAAAAAAACATTGAATGCTATATAGATCACAGTTCCATAAATCTATGTACATTTAGATAATTATTATATCTGTAAATCTAATCTCTCTCTTTCTCTCTCTATGTGTGAGTGTGTGTTGCATGTGTGTGCGTGTGTGTGTGTGTGTGTGTGTTTAAAATACTGAAGGAAAACACACATATATGTTCAGCTCTTTTATCTAAGAGGGATCACAGGTGTCATAGGATGTTTCTTCCACCATCTAAGCCATTTTATCTTCAAAACTAGCTTATCTATTGCCTCCTCCAAAAAGCCTTCCTCAGAGCGGGTTAGGCCCCTCCTTTGTGTTTTGAGAGCCTCTATTACATCCTTGCATCATAGCACTGAACTGTAGTTATCTCTTTAATTAACCTGTGTCCCTGACCATTTTTTATTGCCCACTCTTTCCTTTGTACCTCAAATACTGCCTGCTCATGGTAGAAATTCAATAAAAATTTGTAGAATAGATACATGCAAGAATTATTGTTATGGTAAGAAAAAAATGATGTTATTAAAAAGAAAGGGCTGGGAACAGAAGATATTCAGGTGAGAAATAAAGACAGAAAACTATTACTTTACAATGAGTAAATTACATGTGACAGTGAGTTGACTATTTTGGACCCAGTGAAATTGACAGATATTGTGTTGTCTCGTATATTAAGATTGGTATAGACAGATAAACCATGGCTTTTTTCTTGGTCTAGATCATTGCAATAACTGCCTCCCCTCTCCTCTTTTCCTTTGTTCCCAGAGATATTGTGCGTTCATCCAACTGCTGCTGCCCTGCCAGTATATCTTCTGAGATTACCATCAGCTAAATATTGCATTGTCTTTGGACAATTTTCCTACATGGCGACTCCTCACTACATTTTCAATGCTTTTCTAGTCCCAGACAAGCTACAGACTGTTAATTTACCCTTGCTTTTGCCTTGTCTGAGGAAATTGAAAATAAAATTTAATTTCCTAGTCAAGGGCTATGAGTGCTTTGTGTGGTTTGGAGGGGGAAAAAATACTGTTAGATGGAATTAGGGAATATTAGGAGAGTTTCTGAAGGTAGTGAAGGTACACAGTAATTGATCACTTGCCCACGTAGTGAGAGGTCATTCCAATGAGAAGAGGTTCTGTCAATATCTGAGGTCTGTTTGATACCTGGCCTCAATCTGTCAATCACTCCCAGTAACCGTATTCATAGGCTTCAGATCTGAATTTTGAATTCCATCAGAAGCTTTCCCCTGGCCTTGGAGATGCCATTTAGACTATTCTCATAGTTAGTTATCCCTCACACCACACAAAATGGGAAAAAAAAGCTTTATTTGGGACAAATCAAAAATATCTGGTAGAAAAATAAACGTGGATGCTTTCAGAATATCGGAAGCCCAGGCCTGAGCATCTGAAGGCAAAGGAAGAATAGAGAAGTCTTTGTTGGTAGTACCACTGCCTGTAGGAATTTAAGGGAACTTGCATCTTAGGAGTTCAGTGAAGTCCTAGAAAGAGCCTGAGTGGGCGTGATGAGAAGCAGGACAAATTTTTTTTTTTTTTTTGAGACTGAGTCTCACCCAGTCTCCAGGCTGGAGTACAATGGCTTGATCTCAGCTCACTGCAACCTCCGCCTCTTGAGTCCAAGCTATTCTCCTGCCTCAGACTCCTGAGTAGCTGGGACTATAGGGGTGTGCCATCATGTCCAGCTAAGTTTTTTTTTGTATTTTTAGTAGAGACGGGGTTTCACCATGTTGGCCAGGATAGTCTCAATCTCTTGACCTTGTGACCCACCCGCCTTAGCCTCCCACAAATCGTCATTTCTGAGAAGAAAAACCAACACATTCACTGTTGGAGGTTTAAGTTTTTTGTTTTGGTTTTTATTCTTTTTGGGAAAACTATTTTTATTGCAAAAAAAAAAATGTAAAGCTAGTAACAAAATAGTCAAAAAATATTTATTGTGTGCCTACTGTGTGATAGGAGCTGGGTTTCAAATACAAGTGAACATGAAATAAATGAGCCTTAGATGCACAAAAATGTGTGTGTGCGTGTGTGT